AATCCCGAAAATCCCAAAAAAATTCCAAAAAATTCCCGAAAAAATAACAAAAAATTCCCCAAAATTATCAAATGTTCTGATTGACCAACAGCCACAATTAACCCAAAAAACTCTGAAAAAATCCCAAAAATTCCCCAAAAAATCCCCCGCAAATTTATGAAAAATTTGCAAAAATTCCCGAAAAAATCCCCAAAAAATTTTTTAAAAATTCCAAAAAATTCTCAAAAAATTACCAAATTTTCTGACTGACCAACAACCTTGATGAACCCCAAAATATCCCCTAAAACCCAAAACATTCCCACAAAATTGCCCAAAAATCCTCCTAAAATCCGCGAAAATTCACCAAAAAATTGCAAAAAGTCCCAAAAAATCCTGGAAAAATTCCCTAAATGTTCTGACTGACCTACAGCCTCAAGAACCCCAAAATAATACCTAAAACAAACAAAAAATTTTTTTAAAATCATGAAAATTTTAAAAAATTCTAAAAAATTCACAAAAATTTGCAAGAAATTCCCAAAAACTCAGAAAAAAATCCCCCCAAATTCCCAGATTTGTTAGACTGATAGGTGACCTTGATGAACCCATATAAACTGTAAAAATTCTAAAATACCACAAAAAAATCAGAAAAAATCCCAAAAAAATCAGAAAAAATTCCCAAAAAATCAGAAAAAATTCCCAAAAAACCCTTAAAATTTCCCCAAAAATTAAAAAAAAAAATCCAAAAAATTCCCAGATTTTTAGACTGATGACCTCAATTAACCCCCAAAAAAATTCAAAAAATACCACAAAAAAATCTGAAAAAAATCCCAAAAAATCCCCAAAAATTTTCCAAATAATTCCAAAAAAATTCCCAAATTTCCCAACTGACCGGTGGCCTCGATGTACTGGATGCAGCGCTCGATGAACACCGGGATCGGCCGTTCGGGGGTGACCACGCCGGCCACAGAAAATCCCCAAAATTCCCTAAAAATCCCCCCAAAATTCCCAAACTTCCCAGACTGAGCAGTGACCTCGATGAACCCAAAGAAAAACCCAAGATCCCCTCGAAAAATCCCTAAAAATTCTCAAAATGTCCCTGAAAATCACAAAAAATCCGCAAAAATTCCCGAAAAAGTCCCAAAAAAATCACGAAAAATTCCCAAATTGTCTGACTGATCAACAGCCATGAGGAACCCAAAAAAATTCCGAAAAATTCCGAAAAAATTCAGAAACTATTCACAAAAAATCCTGAAAATTCCCAAAAAATTCCTAAAAATGAATAAAAAATTCCAAAAAATTCTTAAAAAATTCCCAAATGTTCTGACTGACCAACAACCTCAATTAACCGCAAAAAATCCTTAGAAATTAAAAAAAATCTGAAAAAAATCCGAAAAAAATCCGAAAAAAATTAAAAAAAAATCCGAAAAATTCCCAAAATTTTCCAAACAATTCCCAAAATTTTCCCCAAAAATTCCCAAATTTCCCAGACTCATCAATGGCCTCGATGAACCCAAAGAAAAACCCAAAATCCCTTAAAAAATTCTGAAAAATCCCCCACAAATCCCCCCCCAAAATCACGAAAAATTCCCCAAAAAAATCCCCGAAAATCACTAAAAATTCGTGAAAATTCCCAAAAACATCGCAAAAAATTCCAAAAAAATTCCCAAATGTTCTGGCTCACCAACAACCGCACTTAACCCAAAAAACCCTAAAAAATTTCAAAAAAAATCGCGAAAATTCCCCAAAAAATTCGCGAAAATTCCCCAAAAATCACCGCAAATTTTCCAAAAAATCCCCATATTTTTAGGATGACCTCACTTAACCAGCCTCACTTAAGCAGCCTCACTTAGCCCAAAAAATCCCTTAAAAATTAAAAAAAAAAATCCGAAAAAAATATGAAAAAAATCCGAAAAAAATCCGAAAAATTCCCAAAAAATCGCCAAAAATTTCCCAAAAATTCCCAAAATTTTCCCCCAAAATTCCCAAATTTCCCAACTGACCGGTGGCCTCGATGTACTGGATGCAGCGCTCGATGAACACGGGGATCGGCCGTTCGGGGGTGACCACGCCGGCCACAGAAAATCCCCCAAAATTCCCAAATTTCCCAGACTCATCAATGGCCTCGATGAACCCAAAGAAAAACCCCAAAATCCCCTAAAAAATCCTGAAAAAATCCCCAAAAATCCCCCCCAAAATCACGAAAAATTCCCCCAAAAAATCCCCGAAAATCACTAAAAATTCGTGAAAATTCCCAAAAACATCACAAAAAATCAAAAAAATTCCCAAATGTTCTGGCTCACCAACAACCGCACTTAACCCAAAAAACCCTTAAAAATAAAAAAAAAAAATCGCGAAAATTCCCCAAAAAATTCACGAAAATTCCCAAAAATTCCCCAAAAATCACCAAATATTTTCTAAAAAATCCCCATATTTTAGGATGACCTCACTTAACCAGCCTCACTTAAGCAGCCTCACTTAGCCCAAAAAATCCCTTAAAAATTACAAAAAATCCAAAAAAAATCTGAAAAAATTCCGAAAAATTCCCAAAAAATCACCAAAAATTTCCCAAAAATTCCCCAAAATTTTCCCCAAAATTCCCAAATTTCCCAACTGACCGGTGGCCTCGATGTACTGGATGCAGCGCTCGATGAACACCGGGATTGGCCGTTCGGGGGTGACCACGCTGGCCAGGGGCACCCCGAAGTAGCTGCTCTCCCACGGCGCCTTGGACAGCGACGGCCGCGCCTTGGCCTTCGGCTTCTGGGGCAAAAATGATGGGCAAAAATTTGGGAAATTCCGGGAAAAATACAGGAAAATGTGGGGAAAATATGGGGAAAATTGGGGGAAATCTATGGGAAATTATGGGGAAAATCAGGGGAAAATTACAGGAAAATGTGGGGAAAATATGGGGAAAATTGGGGGAAATCTATGGGAAATTATGGGGAAAATCAGGGGAAAATTACAGGAAAATGTGGGGAAAATATGGGGAAAATCGGGGGAAATCTATGGGAAATTATGGGGAAAATCATGGGAAAATTACAGGAAAATGTGGGGAAATTATGGGGAAATTATGGGGTAAATCTATGGGAAATTATGGGAAAAATCCAGGAAAAATTACAGGAAAATGTGGGGAAATTATGGGGAAATTATGGGGTAAATCTATGGGAAATTATGGGAAAAATCCAGGAAAAATTACAGGAAAATGTGGGGAAATTATGGGGAAATTATGGGGTAAATCTATGGGAAATTATGGGAAATATCCAGGAAAAATTACAGGAAAATGTGGGGAAATTATGGGGAAATTATGGGGGAAATCTATGGGAAATTATGGGAAAAATCAGGGGAAAATTACAGGAAAATGTGGGGAAATTATGGGGAAATTATGGGGTAAATCTATGGGAAATTATGGGAAAAATCCAGGAAAAATTACAGGAAAATGTGGGGAAAATATGGGGAAAATTGGGGGAAATCTATGGGAAATTATGGGAAAAATCAGGGGAAAATTACAGGAAAATGTGGGGAAATTATGGGGAAATTATGGGGTAAATCTATGGGAAATTATGGGAAAAATCCAGGAAAATTACAGGAAAATGTGGGGAAATTATGGGGAAATTATGGGGTAAATCAATGGGAAATTATGGGAAAAATCAGGGGAAAATTACAGGAAAATGTGGGGAAATTCTGGGGAATTTATGGGGTAAATCAATGGGAAATTATGGGAAAATCCAGGAAAAATTACAGGAAAATGTGGGGAAATTATGGGGAAATTATGGGGTAAATCTATGGGAAATTATGGGGAAAATCCAGGAAAAACTACAGGAAAATGTGGGGAAATTATGGGGAAATTATGGGGTAAATCAATGGGAAATTATGGGAAAAATCCAGGAAAAATTATAGGAAAATGTGGGGAAATTATGGGGAAATTATGGGTAAATCAATGGGAAATTATGGGAAAAATCAGGGGAAAATTACAGGAAAATGTGGGGAAAATATGGGGAAAATTGGGGGAAATCTATGGGAAATTATGGGAAAAATCCAGGAAAAATTACAGGAAAATGTGGGGAAATTATGGGGGAAATCTATGGGAAATTATGGGAAAAATCCAGGAAAAATTACAGGAAAATGTGGGGAAATTATGGGGTAAATCTATGGGAAATTATGGGAAAAATCCAAGAAAAATTACAGGAAAATGTGGGGAAAATTATGGGGAAATTATGGGGTAAATCTATGGGAAATTATGGGAAAAATCCAGGAAAAATTACAGGAAAATGTGGGGAAATTATGGGGTAAATCTATGGGAAATTATGGGAAAAATCAGGGGGAAATTATAGGAAAGTGTGGGGAAATTCTGGGGAATTTATGGGGTAAATCAATGGGAAATTATGGGAAAATCCAGGAAAAATTACAGGAAAATGTGGGGAAATTATGGGGAAATTATGGGGTAAATCTATGGGAAATTATGGGAAAATCCAGGAAAAATTACAGGAAAATGTGGGGAAATTATGGGGAAATTATGGGGTAAATCTATGGGAAATTATGGGAAAATCAGGGGGAAATTACAGGAAAATGTGGGGAAATTATGGGGTAAATCGATGGAAATTATGGGATAAATCGAGGAAAAATTACAGGAAAATGTGGGGAAATTATGGGGAAAATTGGGGGAAATCTATGGGAAATTATGGGAAAAATCCAGGAAAAATTACAGGAAAATGTGGGGAAATTATGGGGAAATTATGGGGGAAATCTATGGGAAATTATGGGGAAAATCCAGGAAAAACTACAGGAAAATGTGGGGAAATTATGGGGAAATTATGGGGTAAATCAATGGGAAATTATGGGAAAAATCCAGGAAAAATTATAGGAAAATGTGGGGAAATTATGGGGAAATTATGGGGTAAATCTATGGGAAATTATGGGAAAATCAGGGGGAAATTACAGGAAAATGTGGGGAAATTATGGGGTAAATCGATGGGAAATTATGGGAAAAATCGAGGGAAAAAAAATTACAGGAAAATGTGGGGAAATTATGGGGAAATTATGGGGTAAATCTATGGGAAATTATGGGAAAAATCAGGGGAAAATTACAGGAAAATGTGGGGAAAATATGGGGAAAATTGGGGGAAATCTATGGGAAATTATGGGAAAAATCCAGGAAAAATTACAGGAAAATGTGGGGAAATTATGGGGTAATTATGGGGAAATTATGGGAAATTATGGGAAAAATCAGGGGGAAATTATAGGAAAGTGTGGGGAAATTCTGGGGAATTTATGGGGTAAATCAATGGGAAAATTATGGGAAAATCCAGGAAAAATTACAGGAAAATGTGGGGAAATTATGGGGAAATTATGGGGTAAATCTATGGGAAATTATGGGAAAAATCAGGGGAAAATTACAGGAAAATGTGGGGAAATTATGGGGGAAATTATGGGGTAAATCTATGGGAAATTATGGGAAAAATCCAGGAAAAATTACAGGAAAATGTGGGGAAAATATGGGGAAAATTGGGGGAAATCTATGGGAAATTATGGGAAAAATCAGGGGAAAATTACAGGAAAATGTGGGGAAATTATGGGGAAATTATGGGGTAAATCTATGGGAAATTATGGGAAAAATCAGGGGAAAATTACAGGAAAATGTGGGGAAATTCTGGGGAATTTATGGGGTAAATCAATGGGAAATTATGGGAAAATCCAGGAAAAATTACAGGAAAATGTGGGGAAATTATAGGGAAATTATGGGGGTAAATCTATGGGAAAAATCCAGGAAAAATTATAGGAAAATGTGGGGAAATTATGGGGTAAATCTATGGGAAAAATCCAGGAAAAATTACAGGAAAATGTGGGGAAATTATGGGGTAAATCTATGGGAAATTATGGGAAAATCAGGGGGAAATTATAGGAAAGTGTGGGGAAATTCTGGGGAATTCTGGGGAAAATCAGCGGGAAATTATGGGGGAATTATTGAGAAATAGGGGGGAAATTATGGGGAAACAGTGGGAAATATTGGGGAAATTATGGGGAAATTATGGGGAAAATTATGGAGAATTGTGGGGAAATTATGGGGGAAAATCTGGGAAAATCATGGGGAAATAATGGGGAAAATTGGGGGAAATTCTGGGGAAATTCTGGGGAAAATCTGGGGAAAATTATGGGGAAATTATGGGGGAATTATTGGGAAATAGTGGGGAAAATTATGGGGAAATTATGGGGAAATATTGGGGAAATTATGGGGAAAATCAGGGGAAAATCAGGGGAAAATCTGAGAAAATCATGGGGAAATTATGGGGAAAATTATGGGGAAAATCAGGGGCAAATTACAGGAAAATGAGGGGGAAATTCTGGGGAATTATGGGGAAAATCAGGGGGAAATTATGGGGAATTGTGGGGAAATTATTGGGGAATTATTGGGGAAATTATGGGGGAATTATTGGGAAATAGTGGGGAAATAGTGGGGAAATTATGGGGAAAATCCTGGGGGAAATCGGGGAAAAACCCTGGAAAATCCTGAGGGGAAATCAGGGAAAAGTCCTGGAAAATCCTGGGGGGAATCGGGGAAAAATCCTGGAAAATCCTGGGGGGAAATCCGGGAAAAGTCCTGGGGGAAATCAGGGAAAAATCCTGGAAAATCCTGAGGGGAAATCGGGGAAAAATCCTGGGGGAAATCGGTCAAAAATCCTGGAAAATCCTGGGGGAAATCAGGGAAAAATCCTGGGGGAAATCAGGGAAAAATCCTGGAAAATCCTGGGGGGAATCGGGGAAAAATCCTGGGGGAAATCGGGGAAAAATCCTGGAAAATCCTGGGGGGAATCGGGGAAAAATCCTGGAAAATCCTGGGGGAAATCAGGGAAAAATCCTGGAAAATCCTGGGGGGAATCAGGGAAAAATCCTGGAAAATCCTGAAGGGAAATCAGGGAAAAATCCTGGGGGAAATCAGGGAAAAATCCTGGAAAATCCTGGGGGGAATCGGGGAAAAATCCTGGGGGGAATCGGGGAAAAATCCTGGAAAACCCTGGGGGGAATCAGGGAAAAATCCTGGGGGAAATCAGGGAAAAATCCTGGGGGAATTAGGGAAAAATCCTGGAAAATCCTGGGAGACACCAGGAAACGAGCCCTGCAAGCCCCACCTTGACCCCAAAGCCCACCTGAAGGTCCTGAGATGTTCCTCCTGCTGAGGTCTTCTACTGACCAACATCCGGCCGCACACTGACCATGGGATGACCACTGAGATGTCTGAGACCTCCTTGAGCTTGACCAGCACCCCAAAAATGGCTCCTCCAACCTTCATCCCACCTTCATCATCCTCCTGAGATCCTCCACTGACCACCGGGATGACCACCGAGATGTTCCACCATTCCCACCATCACCCCAAAATGGCCCCTCCAAGCCCCATCTCCACCCCAGAACTCCCACCTTGGTTGGTCCTCCTGAGGTTCCTGAGATGTTCCTCCTGCCGAGATCCTTCATTGACCACTGGGATGACCACCGAGATGACCACTGACCACTGGGATGACCCCAAAGACATCCCACCATCCCATAACCTCTCCAAACTCACCTTGGTGGTTCTCCTGATGTTCTTGAGATGTTCCTCCTGCTGAGATCCTTCCTTGACCAATACCTGGCCACACACTGACCATTGAGATGACCACAAGGACATCCCACCACTCCATAATTCCTCCAAGCCCCATAACCCCTCCAAACCCCACCTTGGTTGGTCCTCCTGAGGTTCCTGAGATGTTCCTCCTGCTGAGATCCTTCATTGACCATCATCTGACCACTGGGATGACCACAAGGACATCCCACCACCCCATAACCTCACCAAACCCCACCTTGGTTGGTCCTGCTGAGGTTCCTGAGATGTTCCTCCTGCTCAGATCCTGCACTGACCAACACCTGACCCCAGGGACATCCCACCACCTCATAACTCCCTTCCAATCCCCACCTTGGTGGTTCTCCTGATGTTCTTGAGATGTTCCTCCTGCTGAGATCCTTCATTGACCAATACCTGGCCACACACTGACCATTGAGATGACCACAAGGACATCCCACCACTCCATAATTCCTCCAAGCCCCATAACCCCTCCAAACCCCACCTTGGTTGGTCCTCCTGAGGTTCCTGAGATGTTCCTCCTGCTGAGATCCTTCATTGACCATCATCTGACCACTGGGATGACCACAAGGACATCCCACCACCCCATAACTCCTCCAAACCCACCTTGGTTGGTCCTGCTGAGGTTCCTGAGATGTTCCTCCTGCTGAGATCCTCCAGTGACCACTGAGATGTTCCACCACTCTCAGTTCACCTTGAGCTTGACCACCACCCCAAAACGGCCTCTCCAAGCCCCACCTCCACCCCAAACCCACCTTGGTTGGTCCTCCTGAGGTTCCTGAGATGTTCCTCCTGCTGAGATCCTGCACTGACCAACACCTGGCCACACACTGACCATTGAGATGACCACTGGGATGACCCCAAGGACATCCCACCACCCCAAAATGGCCCCTCCAAGTCCGATCTCCAGCCCAAACCCCACCTTGGCTGGTCCTCCTGACGTTCTTGAGATGTTCCTCCTGCTGAGATCCTGCACTGACCAACACCTGACCCCAGGGACATCCCACCACCTCATAACTCCCTTCCAATCCCCACCTTGGTGGTTCTCCTGATGTTCTTGAGATGTTCCTCCTGCTGAGATCCTTCATTGACCAACACCTGGCCACACACTGACCATTGAGATGACCACAAGGACATCCCACCACTCCATAATTCCTCCAAGCCCCATAACCCCTCCAAACCCCACCTTGGTTGGTCCTCCTGAGGTTCCTGAGATGTTCCTCCTGCTCAGATCCTGCACTGACCAACACCTGACCACTGGGATGTGCCACCATTCTCAACCCACCTTGAGCTTGACCATCACCTCAAAATGACTCCCCCAAGACCCACCTGGGTTGGTCCTCCTGAGGTTCTTGAGATGTTCCTCATCTTGAGATCCTTCATTGACCAACATCTGACCACAGAGATGACCACAAGGACATCCCACCACCCCATAACTCCTCCAATCCCCACCTTGGTTGGTCCTCCCGACGTTCTTGAGATGTTCCTCCTGCTCAGATCCTCCACTGACCAACACCTGACCCCAAGGACATCCCACCAAAACCTCTCCAAGCCCCACCTTGGCGGTCCTCCTGAGGCTCCTCAAGATGTTCCTCCTGCGCGGATCCTCCCCGTCTCCCGCCTCGTACGCCATCCCCGCGCCGTCCCCTTTGTAGCCGCCTTGGCCGCCCGGCTCCTCGTCCTTCTTCCTGCCGGCTCCCGCCTCGTCGTCGCTGCCGGCGCCCAGCCCCGGCCGGTAGCCGGCGAAGCGCCCGAGCCGCGCGCACCGCGCCCGGTACAGCGCCGGCCGGGCGGCGTTGGGCGGCCGGCGGGCGCGCTCCAGGGAGCTCGCGTCCATCTCGCCGTCGGAGCCGTTGCCGCCGCCGTTGGAGGCGGCCTTGTTGATGTTCCTCACGGTGATGATCTTGCCCTGGGTGCTGTCGTGGGGCACCGAGTAGATGTTCTCCTCGTCGCCGCGCGGCTTGGCCACGGCGTCCACGGGCTCGGCGTAGTCGGAGGGGTCGAAGCAATCCGGCGGCGGCCAGGCGGAGGAGGACGCCGAGCGCCGGCGGAGGTCGCGGTGGCTTTGCTCCGGGTAGCCGAGGTCGCCTTTGGCGTCGAAGTGAACCGGCGGCTTCGGCTTCACCGGCGGCGGGATCTTGGCGGGCTTGCCGTCGAACGCCCCCAGCGCCGAAAAGAAACTCGAAGCGTCGTTGCCTTCGAGCTCCGCGGACGGCTTGGAGCGGTCCTTGGGCGGGGCGGCCGCCGCGGGAGGCTCCTCGCGGAAGGGGCTGCAGCCGGGCGGGGGCTCGGGGTCCTCCTCGGAGTCGGGCGGGTTGGAGTTGCAGAGCGGCGAGCCGGCGCGCGGCGAGCCGAAGGCGTCCTCGCCGGCGCCGCACGCCTCGGCGGCGTTGTCGTACGCGTGCGCGGCCTCCACCGCGTTCTTCTTGTCCAAGGCGTCCTTGAAGAACGCTTGGAAGATCTCCAGCTTGCTTTGAGGTCGTCCTCCTGCCCCGCACGGCCAAGCGGCGAACCTGGCCTCGATCTCCTGCGCGATCTCCTCGCCCTCGGCCAGCTGCTCGCGGCTCACGTCGTCGTCCGGGAGATCGGCGGGACCTTCGGCCAAGGCCACCAGCTGGACGGGGACGACGTCCTGGACGTCGGCCAGGAAGGCCCTCAGGGTGGCCAGGGACGCTCTGCGCTTGGCGGCGTAGAAGACGACGTAACCGTGCACCGGGCGGTTCTTCCTCGAGCCGAACGAGGCGTGGTAGGACAGCAAGGACAGCTCCACCTTCCTCCGCTGCGACCCCACCGGCGTCTCCAGCAGCACCGCGGCGCCGCCGCCCGGCGCCGGCCGGCACGCCTGGCTCCGCAGGATCGGCGCCAGCACGTCGTCGGCGCTCGCCGCGTCGCCGCACATCAGGCACATCGCCACGCGCAGGTCGGCGCCGTCCGACGCCTCCCCGCAGGCCGCCGCCGGGTTGAGGTTGCGCTTGGCGTCCAGCAGGCCCTTGAGGACTTGGCCGATCTGCTTCTCGTTGATGTTGCGGCCGTAGCCGATGCCGGCCGACGCCGGGTCCAGGAAGACGCACCGCAGCTTGCCGGCGATCCGCTGGCCCTGCTGGATCAAGCTCTGCAGGGTCTCCCCGCCGGCGTCGCCGCCGCCGCGTTTGTTGACCAAGACGAGCGTCAAGGGCAGCCGCGCCGAGTGGCCGTCGCGGCGGCCGGCGGCGGACTCGCGGCTCTTCTCGATGCTCTCCACCACGTAGGACAGGGACTCCTTGGAGTTGTAGAGGCAGAGGCAGCCGTGCGGTTGGAAGGTCGGCGTCTGGAAGGCGTTGACCGGCAGGCGCACGTTGCCCTCGATGGGCCGCAGGGCCAGCTCGTACATCTTGCCCTCGATGACGTACTTGTCGTCGTTGGTGCAGAGCGCGCGGATCTCGTTGGCCAGCTCGCGCGCCAAGCCGTCCTTGCCCAAGATGACCAGGTTGATGCGGTCGACGTCGGCGTCCGCCGTCGCGGAGGGGTCGTCGCGGCGGTGGCGGAGGAACCGCGCGCTCAGCAGCTGCTCCACGCGCGCGTCCACGCAGGCGGCGCAGCTGGGACACGTCTCCTTGGTGGGGTGGTAGACGAAGTGGATGTGCTTGAGGATGAGGGCGTCGCGCTCCGCCTGGAGCTTCTGCAGAGCTTTGAACCTCTGCTCCTCGCCCAGCACCTCCTGGATGACGCCCATCTTCTCCTTGCTGGGTTTGGCGTCCAGCTCCAGCTCGTAGAAGAGCTCCGAGTACTCCAGGAGGAGCTCCTGGAAGTCCTCCTTGGCTTTGTCGATCAGCTGCTTCTGGTGCTTGCCGTAGATGTCCACGTAGACCGACTCGTCCAGCCACAGGTAGAAGTCCTCGTTCATGATGAAGCTCCTGGCCTCCTCCCAGGGCTTGCCGGGCGTGACGAAGGGCGAGCTCTCCAGGTTCTCGCGGAACGCCCTCCTCATCTCGGCGCGCTTCCGCTCGTTGCGCAGCTTCTCCAGGTGGGCCTCGTAGAGCCGCTCGGCCGCCGGCGTCTCCAGCAGGTCGAAGGGGATGCGCTCGTTGTCCACGTCGTCCACGTGGCCGGTGGCGTCCCACGGCGTCTCCTCCAGCACCACGAACCACTTGAGGAAATCCGGCTTGGCCTCCAGGAGCTTCTCGAGCTTGGCGCGGCTCAAGCGGTCGATCTCGTCGAGGTCCGGCACGAGGGCGTCCAAGGCCTGGGGCAGCAGGGCCAGGTAGACCTTGCGGCGCCGCTCGATGTGCTCCTGCTTGAGGCGCTGGACGTGCTGCAGGAAGAGCTTCTTGGCCTTCTGGGTGCCCTCCAGGTAGACGTAGTCCCGGTACTCGGGCGCCGCCGCCATCTTGCGGCTGACGTCGGGCCAGAGCTCGTGGTGGCTCTTGACGATGCGGCCGACGAGCCACTCGTACTTGTCCTTGGCGGCGGCGATCTGCTGGCTCTGCTGCTTGAGGGCCTCGAAGTAGGGGACGATCTTGGCCTTGCCCCTGCTCTTGTCCACCAGCTGCACCAAGGTGCCGAAGGCCAGCTCGACGTTGACGTTGGAGCGCGCCGAGGTCTCCACCACCTGCAGGTTCTTCTTGCCCAGCGCGAAGGCGTGGGCGTCGCGGATGTAGCGCTCGACGCCCTCGTCGCACTTGGTCAGCACCACCACCGCCGGCTTCTTGGTCTTGGCCAGCTGGTTGTAGAGGTTGGAGACGAACTTGAGCTGCTCGTCGAAGTTGCGGTTCATGCCGCGGCTGACGTCGACGCACAGCAGGAAGCCGTCCACGGGCAGCTTGCCGTCGGGCATCTGCTTCTGCTCGAAGTCCTGCTCCAGGCCCAGCTGGTCGGTGCAGAAGTACATGAGCTTCTCGGCCGACGCCAGCTTGGTGGCCGCCGCCCGCTTGACGTACGGCTGCAGCGCCGTGCTGCGGTGCGGCTGGAAGGTCTGGTCGTCGATGAACTCCGTCTGCTCCACCACGTGGACGCGGCACTCGGCGCACTCCTCCAGCGCCCGCGCCACCTCGCCCCAGTAGAGGAAGTGGTCGTTGTTGACCACGCGCCCCCCGAAGTCACTGGTGCTGAGCACCGAGGTGTGCTCGGCGTGGAAGTCGTCGGCGCCGGGCCGCACGAAGCGGTTGCACAGGCAGGATTTGCCGACGCCGCACTGGCCCTTCTCCTTCTCGGTGCCCGACAGCCCCACCACGCTGACCGTGTAGGTGGGCGGGCGGCCATCTTGCTTGCGGGCCATCATCATGGCGGCGGCAGCATGGCGGCGGGGTCGGGGCGGGGGCGGCGGTACCGCGGCAACGGCGGCGGCAACGGCGGCGGCGGGGAGGGTTCAGGAGCTGGAGGGCGTCGGAGCGCAGTGGCCGAGGAGGGGTCCTGGAAAGAGAGAGGAGATGGTGGGAGGTGGTGGAGGTGGTGGGGTGGGTTGGGAGGGTGGGGTGGGGTCTCCACCCAAGTGAGGGGCATCGAGATGGGCACAAGTTCTCCACCCGACCATGATGGACACAAGTTCTCCACCCAACCATGATGGACACAAGTTCTCCACCATGGTGGACACAAGTTCTCCACACCAAGATGGGCACAAGTTCTCCACCCAACCATGATGGGCACAAGTTCTCCACCCAACCATGATGGGCACAAGTTCTCCACCATGGTGGACACAAGTTCTCCACACCAAGATGGGCACAAGTTCTCCACCCAACCATGATGGGCACAAGTTCTCCACCCAACCAAGATGGACCCAAATTTTCCATCCCACCAAAGACCTTCCAAGATGGGCACAAGTTCTCCACCCAACCAAGATGGACACAAGTTCTCCACCATGGTGGACACAAGTTGTCCACACCAAGATGGGCACAAGTTCTCCACCCAACCATGATGGACACAAGTTCTCCACCATGGTGGACACAAGTTCTCCACCCAACCATGATGGACACAAGTTCTCCACCCAACCATGATGGACACAAGTTCTCCACCATGGTGGACACAAGTTGTCCACACCAAGATGGACACAAGTTCTCCACCCAACTATGACGGACACAAGTTCTCCACCATGGTGGACACAAGTTCTCCACACCAAGATGGACACAAGTTCTCCACCCGACCATGATGGACCCAAATTTTCCATCCCACCAAAGACCTTCCAAGATGGGCACAAGTTCTCCACCCAACCATGATGGACACAAGTTCTCCACCATGATGGACACAAGTTCTCCACCATGGTGGACACAAGTTCTCCACACCAAGATGGGCACAAGTTCTCCACCCAACCATGGTGGACACAAGTTCTCCACCCAACCATGATGGACACAAGTTCTCCACCCAACCATGGTGGACACAAGTTCTCCACCCAAGTGAGAGGCACCAAGATGGACACAACTCCTCCACCCAACCAAAGGTCACCATGGTGGGCATGGCTTCTCCACCCAACCAAGGACCCTCCATGATGGACACCAGTTCTCTACCATGATGGACACAAGTTCTCCGCCATGATGGACACAACTCCTCTAGCCAACCAAAGCTCCTCCATGATGGACACATGGTGAGGAGATGGGGTCAAGGGTGGTGGAGATGGATTGGGGAAGGGTGGGAATGGGTTCTCCACCCAGCTGGATGGTCATGGCGGTGGACACAAGTGCTACACCATGGTGGACACAACTTCTCCACCCAACCCAAAGGTCCTCCATGGTGGACACAAGTTCTCCACCCAACCATGATGGACACAAGTTCTCCACCCAACCATGACGGACACAAGTTCTCCACCATGGTGGACACAAGTTCTCCACACCAAGATGGGCACAAGTTCTCCACCCAACCATGATGGACACAAGTTCTCCACCATGGTGGACACAAGTTCTCCACACCAAGATGGACACAAGTTCTCCACCCAACCATGATGGACACAAGTTCTCCACCCAACCGAGGGTCACCAAGATGGACACAACTGCTCCATCCAACTCAGGAGCACCAAGATGGACACAAGTTCTCTACCTAACCATGATGGACCCAAATTTTCCACCCAAGTGAGGGGCACCAAGATGGACACAGCTTCTCCAGCCAACCAAGATGGACACAAGTTCTCCACCCAAGTGAGGGGCACCAAGATGGACACAAGTTCTCCACCCAACCAAAGACCCTCCATGACTGACAAAAGTTCTCCACCCAACCACGATGGACACAAATTTTCCACCCAACCCAAAGGTCCTCCATGGTGGACACAAGTTCTCCACCATGGTGGACACAAGTTCTCCATCCCAAGATGGACACAAGTTCTCCACCCAACCAAGGGGCACCAAGATGGACACAAGTTCTTCACCCAACCACCCAACCATGACTGACACAAATTTTCCACCCAACCAAAGGTCACCATGGTGGAAATGGCTTCTCCACCCAACTGAGGGGCACCAAGATGGACACAAGTTCTCCACCCAACCAAGGGTCCTCTATGATGAACATAACTTCTCCACCCCAAGATGGACACAACTTGTCCATCCAACCAAAGACCCTCCACAATGGACACAACTTTTCCACACAACCAAGGGTCACCATGATGGACACAAGTTCTCCTCCATCATGGACTCAACTCTTCCACCACGACGGACACGACCTCCCCACCATGGTGGACACAACTTCTCCACCATGTTGGACACAACTTGCCCACCATGATGGACACAAGTTCCCCACCATGATAGATCCAATTGCTCCACTAAGATGGACACAACTCTTCCACCCAACCAAGGGTCACCACGGTGGAAATGGCTTCTCCACCCAACTGGACGCTCATCTTGGTGGACAGAACTTCCCCACCATGATGGACACAACTTCTCAACCCAACCAAAGGTCACCATGATGGACACAACTTCTCCACCAAGATGGACACAACGCTTTCACCGTGATTGACACAAGTTCTCCACCCAATCAAAGATCACCGTGATGGACACAAGTTCTCCACCATGATGGACACAAGTTCTCCACCCAACCAAGGGTCACCATGATGGACCCACCTTCCCACCATGGTGGACACAAGTTCTCCACCCAACCAAAGATCCTCCATGATGGACGCAAGTCCTACACCATGGTGGACTCAACTTCTCCACCCCAAGATGGACACAAGTTCTCCACCATGATGGACACAACTTCTCAACCCAACCAAAGGTCACCATGATGGACACAACTTCTCCATCCAACCAAGGGTCACCATGATGGACACAAGTTCTCCACCATGATGGACACAACTTCTCAACCCAACCAAAGGTCACCATGATGGACACAACTTCTCCACCAAGATGGACACAACGCTTTCACCATGATTGACACAAGTTCTCCACCCAATCAAAGATCACCGTGATGGACACAAGTTCTCCACCATGATGGACTCAACTTCTCCACCCAACCAAGGGTCACCATGATGGACACAAGTTCTCCACCCAAGCAAAGACCCTCCATGATGGACACAAGTTCTCCACCATGATGGACACAACTTCTCCACCCAACTAAGGGTCACCATGATGGACACAAGTTCTCCACCCAAGCAAAGACCCTCCATGATGGACACAAGTTCTCCACCCAACCAAGGTCCACCATGATGGACCCACCTTCCCACCATGGTGGACACAGGTTCTCCACCATGATGGACCCAACTCCTCCAACCAACCAAAGATATCCATGATGGACCCAAGTTCTCCACCATGATGGACTCAACTTCTCCACCCAACCAAGGGTCACCATGATGGACACAAGTTCTCCACCCAACTAGACACTCATCTGGGTGGACACAACTTCTCCACTCAAATGAGGCTCACCACGATGGACACAAGTTCTCCACCCAACCAAGGGTCACCATGATGGACACAAGTTCTCCACCCAAGCAAAGACCCTCCATGATGGACACAAGTTCTCCACCATGGCGGACTCAACTTCTCCACCCAACCAAGGGTCATCATGATGGACACAAGTTCTCCACCCAAGCAAAGACCCTCCATGATGGACACAAGTTCTCCACCATGATGGACACAACTTCTCCACCCAACTAAGGGTCACCATGATGGACACAAGTTCTCCACCCAAGCAAAGACCCTCCATGATGGACACAAGTTCTCCACCCAACCAAGGTCCACCATGATGGACCCACCTTCCCACCATGGTGGACACAGGTTCTCCACCATGATGGACCCAACTCCTCCAACCAACCAAAGATATCCATGATGGACCCAAGTTCTCCACCATGATGGACTCAACTTCTCCACCCAACCAAGGGTCACCATGATGGACCCACCTTCCCATCATGGTGGACACAACTTCTCCACCCCAAGATGGACACAAGTTCTCCACCATGATGGACACAACTTCTCCATCCAACCAGGGGTCACCATGATGGACACAAGTTCTCCACCCAACCAAAGATCCTCCACGATGGACCCAAGTTCTCCACCATGATGGACACAACTTCTTCACCCAATTGAGGCGCACCAAGATGGACACAACTTCTCCAACCTAGCCAAGGGTCCTCCATGATGGACCCACCTTCCCACCACGGTGGACACAAGCTCTCCACCATGATGGACACAACTTCTCCACCCAACCATGATGGACACAAATTTTCCACCCAACCAAAGACCTCCATGGTGGACACAAGTTCTCCAACCACGATGGACACAAGTTCTCCACCCAACCAAGGGGCACCAAGATGGACACAAGTTCTTCACCATGATGGTCATAACTTCTCCAGCCAACCACGATGGACACAAGTTCTCCAGCCAACAGAGGGGCACCAAGATGGACACAAGTTCTCCATCCCACCAAGGACCTCCATGATGGACCCAAGTTCGCCACCATGATGGACCCAAGTTCTCCATCCCACCAAGGGACCTCCATGATGGACCCAAGTTCTCCACCAAGATGGACCCAAGTTCTCCATCCCACCAAGGACCTCCATGATGGACCCAAGTTCTCCACCATGATGGACCCAAGTTCTCCATCCCACCAAGGACCTCCATGATGGACCCAAGTTCTCCACCATGATGGACACAACTTCATTTTCCCTGGAATTCGCTGACTCAGCACTTCCTGATTGACCTCAAAAATCCCAAAAATCCCCCAAAAATCCCAAAAAATCCCAAATTTTTCCCAAAATTTCTGTGGAATCCTCACCCAGATCAGTCCTAGAGCTGGAAATTCCAACTTTAAACACCCCAAAATTCCCGATTTTCCCCAGAATTCCTGATTTTTTTTTCCCTGGAATTCACTGACTCAGCACTTCCTGATTAATCAC